CGGGCACAGACTATCATCTCCTGCTACCAGATTACTATGTTAAAGTTGTTTACCTAAATGCGCTCTAATTCAATGCTAAGTCGTATCCTATGCGTGCACTATCCGTCCCATGCCTATGGTCCAGGAGGCATTGGACCTCTATTTGGGTAGTTCTAGACTTTACCTAGGCTACTCAAAATGATAAAACTTGGCGACATATAAAACAAGTTGAACTTTGTGTAAGGGCTCAGATTAGCCTCCGCACTTAGACATTAAATGCACGCAAACAGATTATCATATTGGACAGTTTTAGAATTGAGGCAATTAAAGCCATTAAGCCTTATAGACATGGTTTCTACGTGATTCTGAATTCCAGCATCGTATATACAACATTATCACTCTTAGTAAGGAGTAGACCATTTACGAACTTTAGAGCAGTTTACACTGGTTTTATAGATACCGGTTTTAAAAAGGTGACATTGTCCTATAGGCATGATTTCTAATAGCGGCGTAACTGAACAATGAAAATAGTTCTGAGAGCCCAGCCTTGACAAGTTGATCTCATAAACGAAATTAAATGATTGACAGTGTCCTGTAGGCATTATCTCTAGTAATTGACAATCGAACATGATTTTTATAATACTTTACCCCTATAAGCATGTTATCTAGGCGGAACAATATGATAACAATAACAACAGCTAATTGGTTGATTAAGGTCCTATAGACATAATTTTTAGGTGAAAATCAGTAGAACATAAGCTAGTATAATCCTATAGGCAGGGTATCTAGTGAATATGCTGAAGTTATCCAAATCGAAGGAATGTTTATTGACATTTATTTCCTATAGGCATGTTGTCTAGTAACACATAGCAGTAGTCATAGGAATAAATAAAACACAAGTTGTGCGAGTGTGTGTGATTTTTCTAATGGCATGATTTCTGCCAGTGTACATGGAGATTGAATAGCATATATGGCAGGTTGGATAAAATAACAAGTAGATCATATGAATACTATAGGCATGCTTTTCTACCCTTTCATGCAAACATAGAGTATACCCTTTCCCCTAATTTCACTAATACCCCAATTGTTTATTACAAAATTATTACACACCCAATGATGAATGTAACTATAAAATATTATACAACCAGCAACACTAGACCTATAGCAGGCACAAAAGAAAATACCCAGCATTGCCTGGGCCTTCAACAATTCTTTCTTCACACATAGCACACCCAGATCCCAACAGAGGACTATATTCATAAGCATAGCCCAGAAACCCATAGAGGAACTCAAGCCAAACCAAACAACCATATATGACCCAAACATTGGATCACTTAAACAAACCAGTATGTATATTCAGTAGATAGAATGAGGAAAGAACTGAATGTTAGAGATAGCTCAAGTCTCAGTAGTAAGGAGAGTGACCAAAGAACCTCAAGTCCTAGCGTGTCAGCATTCAGAAGGGTCTTAAATGGACCCCAAGCAATGCTCACACTAGGGAGGTCAATGGTGAGAGTCTTGGTGGCCTTGGATTTTTTTCCGGCCGAGAGTGATAGGTTCAGAATAGTGTAGGTAGCAAAAAGAGTGAAAGAACAATGATTAAGGGACTGAATTAGAAGAGATACACTTGTATTTTTAGAAAACAGATATAGCCAAATTAAAAACACTATACATGTTAATTAAGAGGGTCAACAAGACTTAGAAGCAGGTTCAATACTTAGCAAAAAGTAACACATTGCCATAAACGTATTGAAAGAGTTAGGGAAGAAACAAGTTTGCAAGATTAACAAGATTATCATACAAAGGTGCATAATACCAAACAAGTCTAAGTACGGCACTAACTTAAAAGGTTTAAAGCTTAAACATCCAAATTATGCTAAGGATTCATCACAATATCATAAGACAGCCACGTTAACTTATATCATGAAACAGAACGGTATCAAACATGGTAGGGAAACACAAATTAAGATAGCCATTCCAAAGGTCCCAAATAATCACAAAGGCTACAGAATCATGCAAACCAAAGACATGTTGAGGAACACATTAACAGGAGAGCAATTTATAGCTGATAGTGAAGCTCTTAACATAGTAAGAGCATATTACAGATGCGAGACAGCGACTACAGGAATTCAGAACATAGTGGGAAAGCAAGTTCATGTCTAATAGCAAATGTAGGCATTCAGGTATCAACAAGTTTAGCTAATATGGACTTAAGAGGGACTAAATTATTCAGGTGAAGCATATTCAAATAACATATCTCAGAACTGGTAGCTTTAGGTAAATTTAAATGCTAAAGAGGTTTAAAACAAGTGCAAAGCTGACAAAGTTGCATACAAAAGTAGCCCAGAAATACATTAAGCCATGAATTTCAGAACTAAGAATATGCCAATCATAGACACATAAGAACGAAATTGCAAAAGCCAAGGACTTACCAGTTAAACGGACAACAAGAAAGAATAAAATTCCACAGTATTCTGAATATCAACAAAGAGCAAGAACCCAGAATTTGGCTTTGGGCTGGGGGCTATTGGACTAAGTTGCTGGGCCATTTTGGTCCGAAAATTAGTTTGTAGTTGGGCTACTATTTAAATACACAAATTTTATCAAAAATAATTTATAAAAATGCTTATTAAATAAATAAAAATATTATTTATGCACTAAAATGATTAACAATAATAATTTAGCATAGTAAAAATATAAAATTCTTTGTGACACAAATAATAAAAATAAAGAGCATATATGTATGAGTATGGGCTATTACTGCAAAATTATGCAAATAGCTTTAAAAATACTAATGTAATTATATAAAATGGATTAAAAATATTTGAAACATGTATTATAGGTGCAAATAATAATTTTAGGTGACTAAGTCATCACAAAATAATTTGAAGGAGTAATTAATAAATATTTGAACAATCTAAAATGCAAGAAAATCAATTTTAAAGCTTTAAAATTATGAAAAACTATAGAAAATGCTTGCACAAATCTTTTAAATTAAATAATGATGCAAATATGAGATTTTGGAAGTATATAAATTATTTGAGAAAATATGAGGACAAAATTGGGTATCAACGGTTGATATGCTTATAGAGGTGGGTAAGATATTCGTGGAGGCGGTGCATGCCATTGCGGGTCTTGTGGATGTGGAGCATATAGCGGTGCATTGTGGATAGAGTACTGGGAAAGTGAGGTATGACTTTGGGGATTTTGTGGAGAGAAGTAGCATTGGGAAGGATTATCTGGAGTACGGGGATATCCATGGGGTCGATATTGAGGCTGAAAGCGTTGAGCAAGAACACCCACTGAATCTTGTCATTGGTGGGGCTCAACAACATCTTTTCTATTTCTCTTTCTTCCACCCAAACTTACTGAGATGTTCTGAATGTCTTTCGTAGTATCTTTCAATGCAGAATAGCTCACGATTTTCCTGACTTGATTCCTTCTTCTACCACCTCCCCCATTTTTACCACATCATTGAAAGGCTTACCTAAAGCTGGGATCAAATGACTGAAGTAGGTGGGTCCCTGAGCTTGTAGGAAAAGCTCAACCATTTTTTCTTCATCAATCGGGGGACTGACCCGAGCAGCTTGTTCCCTCCATCTGAACCCAAACTCCGTAAAACTTTCCTCGGGTTTCTTTTCCATCTTAGATAGGGAGGAGCAGTCTGGGATAATCTCTAGATTGTACTGAAAGTGTAGAACAAAATCTTGAGCCATGTCATCCCATGTATACCACTTACTGACATTTTGACGAGTATACCATTCCAAGGCTGCCCCACTCAGGCTCTCACTGAAATATACCATCAACAACTCATCTTTCCTGCCAACACTCCTCATTTCACTGCAATAACCCCTCATATGGGCTACTGGATCTCCACGGCCGTCATATAGGTTAAACTTTGGCATTTTAAACCCCGCGGGCAGATGAATATCAGGAAACATACACAAGTCATTGTAAGACATGTTAATCTGATTTCCCATCCCTTGCATGTTCTTTAAGGATTGTTCTATACCTTTCAGCTTTCTAGATATCTCATCTCGCTCTTCTTTTCCTATGGACTTTCCATTTTCAAAATGAAGTTCATTCCAAGGGATATAATTATATGGGTTCGGGACTTGGTGGGCTAGCTCTGGGGGTAGTATTGGGTATCAAGAGGGTTGAACTGGTGTTTACTGTTGGATCTATGAAAGAAAGGTTGTTGAGAAGTTGTGATAGTAGGGATAGTGGATATGACGGGAGGGCTATTTTTAGGAAAGGTAATTGGAGGACGAACGATGGAGCTACTATGGAGGTTGGAAAAGCTGTGATAAGCGGGAAAATCTAGAGAGTATAGTGGATCATCTAACACTATGACCGGGGCTTGGGTAAGGGTAGCATCGAGGAAGCTAGGTGGTGGCGGGGGTGGTGCCTTCCCAGTCATCCAAGCCTGATACATGTCTGCCATGTGTTGTCTTAACATCCTTACCACTTCAACCAACCCAATGTCTTGTTCAACCAATTGCTTTTGGTCACTAGAATCAACTAACTAAATTCTGTTATCGTCTTCCATTGCCTTTCGACTTTATGTTATCGAGAAGAATAACAGTTTAGGAACCACAAACCAACCACCCTTCTGTTATAATGAAGATAACAAAGAGGAACAAAATAAAATCATCACGTTAGTGTTAGGGCATTTATCATAATATAATCTCACATTACGTGCAATGCACCTAGTCACAGTTATCGGTTCTAAAATGACTTCGAGGCTACGAAGGTCATATTGGCATCATCCCAAGATCAATCTTCTTGCCCTTTTTCCTCTTCATTTTTTCCTGCGCTTCTTATTTCACTCATTTTCTTTCCTTTCTTTTCTGGTTGTGACTCTTTTCTTCCCTCTCATTTCTTACATCCCACAACTTCATCCTTTTTTTCTTTATTTTAATTTTTAAAGAATGATTTGATCGAACTCTATGTAGGTTGCCTACGTATCATGTTCCACTTGAATTAGAGCAAGCGTAGTTCAGGAAAAGTAATGGACAAAATAAACCAAAAACAAAAATCTTTTTGGATTTTTCATTTATAACTTTTTTTTCAGTTTTCAAATACAAAACAAGAAGTATGATAACGAGAGACTCGACAAACTCAACTATACTACGACAAACTCTGACACCAACTAAAAGACTGAATACTACTAGACAGTACTAGAAAGCAAAAGAAACACCACAAAAATAGACTCAAAACATAAAAAGTTTCCTCAAACAAGCTCCCAAATGCGATGGTCCTGGGTTATCTGTCATGCTCGAGCTCTGGAACATGGATCCATACCTGAATGAGAAAAATGAGACCAAATAGAGTTAGTGACACGAGACACTATGCGACGCCACAACACCTCCTATTGGACACATGCAAAACATGATTGGGCTATTTTTGCAAAAATTCCTACGTGGCCAAGGGTGGCTACTAGTGCAAACTCAACAAAGGTGACCTCAAAGACATGGAAATACCTCACTAAGGCTTATATGGCTTCAAACTCCCAATAATTATGGCCCTAGAAATTACATAGCAAAAATGACCCATTTTGCAAAAATGGCCGATATGGCCAAACGTGGCTAGAGACGCAAACACGACAAGGACAGACCTTAAGGAACGGGGTACCTAGTTGTGTACACAAGATATTAAGACACGGGTCACTTAACCATTCTCGTGAAAATGATCCCATTTTGAAAGAATGGCCGATGTGGCCAAAAGTAGCTAAACATTCAAATTCAACAGGAACAGACCTTAAACTAAGAGGACACCTTGTTGTAGACTTAGGGCTCTAAGACATGGAATAACAAATCACTTTGAGAAAATAGCCCTATTTTGCAAAATGATCAATGTGGCCAAAAGGTAGCTAGACATGCATGATTTGGCTACGACCCCCGAAGCCAAGAACCTAAGACTCATTAGAAAAACCGGACCCTATGTGGGATGCCTACGTATTCGCTCCAAAAGACGAGAATCGGATTTGCATAGTTCGGGAAGAATGGATATGGGAGAGAATTTGAAAAAAAAAAACAACTGATTTGGATAAACATCTTGTATTTTTTGAAAAATAATGGAAAATGCAAAATCTTTTTGGATTTTCTATTTCTTTTTTTCGAGAAAACTATGAAAAAAATTGAATGGGTCCTACTTGCTTTATTTTAAACTTCACCCTCTTGTCTCTCTCATTGGTCCGCCAAATGACCCACTTACCCTAAAAGAATGCAGCATATAACACATAGGGATATTAAATGTCTTTTTGGGCCACAGGCCCATTTTGACATAATTTGGATAGGCCTCCTACAATGGGACACGGTGCCTGGGACCATGCCCTGCTAGGTCTAAACAACATGATGCAAATAAGTATGACCAAAAGGCTAACCTACGTTTGTGGTTCACTAGACAAGGCAATTCGCGGTGTCACGTGGTCGATGGCAGCTGCTCTAGTTCTCCGCCCACTCCACGCTCCCACGCCACCCCCCTAAAGATACGGGTGACTCACAAAAGGCCGTGTACGCTCAAACGTACTCCGAATGACTTGTTGCAGAAAGAAGACTCATGGTTATGCAAATAATGACAGTTATAAAGCAATAAACACATATGAAAAAACGGTAAACGTATAAACAACTAGCAAATGATAAACATATACAAAATAAAATCAGATAAATCAAAACAAAAAAACATAAAAACCTCAACAAAATTCTAAAAAGCCAACAAGATCATAATATCCATTTTCCCTTTTCCGTTCCCAAGCAGAGTCGCCAAAGTTGTCACACATTTTTTTTTTACTTCACTAACCCTCTTTAAAAGAATAAAATAATTTGTAAAGCTCAAAAGGGTTTTCATTAAGAAAGTGATAAAATTTGTGTTCAAAAGATTTTTCAGAGTCGCCACCTGACATTTGATTTCGGTGTATCAAGTCACCATATTTAGAAATGATTTATTCTTTTGAAACACGTTAGGACTCTAAAACTGACTGCACCAGAGGTTCTAAGAAAGGGGTTTCATTTGACTCGGGAGAAGGTTTTAGGCATTCCCCAAGTCCCGTAACTAGTACGGTTGCATAAATGATCAAGTCAGCTTTAAACGGTATTCTAATTGAGGAAAAAACACACAATAACGAAATAAATACACAAAAGGCTCGAGGTCGTCCCTACCTAATAATATAGAAAAATAAAAATAAAAATAAAATCACTAAAAGTTCTATACTATGCCTGTGCATTCCCCTGAATATAAAACTAAAGGGGACGACCTCTCACCTTGAATAAAAATAAAATAAAATACCTAAGGTTTGCCTACCCAAGTGTGATTGGCCTAAAACATGCTACTATCGATGAAAAATGAAACAAGAACAACAAAATCTTTCTTAAGCTTATATTCTATCTCATTATTGATTAGTTAGGATACAAATTTGCTTTATAGCTCATTATACTGAAACTTATAGCCCATAAATTGATAAGCTCAGCATGTACTCAACTAAAGAAATTCAATCGATAGCTCAAACAATTATCATCATATCAATGTAATCTAGCTAAATCAGTGACAAATCATGGGCAACTAAATAACAATTAACACCAAATAACGTGATCAAAGCAGAGTATTTAAGAGAAGAATGGACCTCAAGGTGCGACACCCTTTCAATTACAGCAATGGTATGAACAAGAGCCGGGATCGGAAATCGGTGACCTCGAAGCTCGCCGGAAAACTCGAACTAGATCAAAAAAATGGAACTAATGGATTTCTTGCACAAAAACAGACCGGCCAAGCTCCAACCATGGCTGAGAGGAGTTGGAATTTTCGTTTAGAAAAAGATCAAAGAGAGGCTGCCGTTTCAGACACACACAGACAAAGAAAACAATTAATCAATTTCTTATTTCCAGTTAGGAGCGTCCAATGAGCGTGTCAATGAATTGTAAAGGACTAAGGGGCGGTGGAGAGTCGTTGGAGGTGAAGCTGTAAGCTATTGGTGACATCCCATTAAGTGCGTGTGGCTGATCTTCCTATGAGTGTAAATTATATGCATAAAAATTCCAGCCAAATCTGGTGTTTCTTGTGTGCTATGAGCTGCAGAAATAGTTGAGAAAATCCAGCAAAAGCTTCTGGCTTTGTCTTGATCCGTTCCGGCAGGTTTGAATCAAAGAAGCTTCTGCCTTTGATTGGTAAGGTGTTTCTGAAAAGGTTGAAAGGTTTTCGTGGAAAATGGATTTTTTTTAAATGGATCGGCAGAAGCGTGGAGATTTTTGTGGGGGTGCTGCTTCTCTTGGGGTAGGGTTTATGAAAAATATGAGTTTTATATGGTTTGGGAAAAGAACCTTGGCCATTGGATTAAAAAAAGGATGGAGGATGAGATTAGATGGGTTAACGGGTTTTGGGCTCATATCATTCTGGGCTAATTCGAATTTGGGCCTTCTCTATTGAACCTTTGGACAAAGATGGACAAACCAACTCAAATTTCATTCTCCTATTCAACAATATAATATAAAATATACTATTAAATATAAAATCAATTCCAATTAATTGAAGTAAAACTATATCATAATATGGAACAATATTTTTTTTATTTTCATGTAAGGGTAGAGAAAAAGAAATAAATTGAAATCATAGTAAAAATTAAAATATTACTATAAAATCTAATGGCCTTAAGTATAAGACATACGAAAATATGTAATGAACTATTTCCGTATTTTATTTTTTGTGTCTATTAATTAAAATTGAAGATAAAATATACTAATCTATAATATCAAATAGATACTAAAAATACTACGAATACTAAAAATAACTCTTAAAAATAGTGAGGGTCAAAAATTACGTGCTTACATTTGCAATCACCAATGATCCTTTGGTGAGTCTCCACTTTTAATTTGCAAAATAGTTCTCGTACCCATCTCGGTCCAAAGCAATTCCCGAGATCAAGTTCATCCGCAAATTAGGTACATGCCGCACGTCCTTTAGAACCAATGTGCATCCGACATTTGTTTTGATACAAATGGCACCAATCCCTGCTATTTTTGAGTAACTTGTGTTACCCATTCTCACAGTGCCGAAATCACCTGCTACATATCTGCAAAAAAAGTCTTTTACCGGTTATCACGATCCAAAATTCATTAAAGGTCATGATGGCGCCGGACACCACTGTCAGGCAAGCCAACACCAAGAAGTTAATTTAATTCTCATTTTAGTATTTTCGAAATCATTTCTTTTCTTATACTAAACAATAAATAATGAACTTCACTGAGTAAATAATGATGTCTTTAACAAATTTAAATACCGAATAATCCTATAGTCATCCCAGAACCTGGTGTCACAAGTGCACGAGCAATTTCTAGGAAATAAAATGTAAAACAATAACTGTCCGGAATACAAATTGGACAGAAAAGAAAGTACAATACTCTGAAGGAGACTCTGCTGGCTGTGGGTCGTCTCGAGAGATGCAGCTCACCTAAGTCTCTGTATCAACCATGCCGCTGCGCCCAACGAGGCCACTAGACATACATGTGCCTGTGCAATAAAAATGCACAATAAGTGTAGTATGAGTATGAAAATAACGCGTACCCAGTAAGTATCCAGTCTAACCTCGGAGAAGCAGTAATGAGAGGTCGACTTCGACACTTACTAGTGGTGTAATAATAAAATATCAATAATGTGAAAGATCATGAATTTTATAAGGCGACTGCAAACACATAGATCATGAAGCAGGTAAACAATTATTTTTGTTAATAGAAATTTTCAAACTTATTTTCATCCTTTTAACAATATACGTCCCCGGCCAATGAGGCCACACCAATTATCAATAATTCCAAACAATCAAGCAAGTCATGCGCAAATCATGCCGAGGTCATACGGCCCGATCCAACATAATATTTAAATTAAGCACTATCAGAGGGTCGAACGACGCGAACCATAGATGCATCTACTACCCCGCTCGCAAATCATACATGCGACGCAGTCAAATATAAGTAAAAGAATTACCCCGCTCGCGAATCATACATGCGATGCAGGTATAAATAGATACACACATTCAAACAGTCAATAAAGACTTCATCAGGGAAATAATTACCCAAGGAAATGACAACTTTTCTTTTAACAGTCAAGAAAGTGATGTTTAGCCCTTTTGAAAGTCATTTACCAAGTTCGATATGATTTAAGACTTTTAAATTGTCAATACAGTTACAAGTACGGCAAGTAAAGCATGCTTTTGGGTCCTAGACTACCTGGACTTAAGCATAATAGTAGCTACGCACTGACTCTCGTCACCTCGTGCGTATGTAGCCCCCACAAATAGGAGTACATATTTAATTATTTCACCTATGGGGTTAATTCCCTCTTACAAGGTTAGAAAGGAGACTTACCTCACTCCAAAGTTCCATAACCAGCTCCCAAGCCCTTCCGATGACTCAAATCGATGCCCAACGCTCCAAAACTTGACATAGATGATGAAGATGGAGCTCCAAAATCGCTCCTAGGTCGTCTCCCATGGAGGAAATGAGATAAAATGAGCCAAACCCATTTTTGCAAACTTATACACTGCCAGGCAACCATTCTTCGCGTTCGCGGGGCTCCCATCGCGTTCGCGATGAACAAAATTCTCGAAAGCCATTCCCAAACTCTTCTCATACAGCCTCTAGTATAATGGCCATAACTTTTTCTACAAAACTCCAAATGACAAACGGTTTTAACTTTTTGAATACTAGACACCAAGATCTACAAATTTTCATGTTTTGGTCATCTCTCAATTCCTTGTAGATTCAGAGATATAAGCCTCCAAAGTCAGCCCTGTGCAACACAAATTTCTTCTTTATCTTCTCGGACAGCCTGTAGTGTACTAGCCATAACATTTTGTACACAAATACAAATGCTAAATGGTTTATTTAATTGAAAACTAGACACAAAGGGCTACAACTTTCATTTTTGGATCATCTCCAAATTTCTTATAGATTGCGAGATATGAGCCTCCGAAGTCAGACCTGTGCAACAGAGATTTCCTTCTTCGCGAACGCGAGTATCTCTTCGAGAACGCGAAGAACAAAGTCCTTGAAGCCAAATCCTTCTTCGCGAACGTGAAGAACAACACCAGACACCAACATCAGCTATTGTAAAACAGCCCGAAATGATCTAAAACCACCCCAAAACACACCCGAGGCCCCCAGGGCCCCGTCCAATCACACAAACCAGTCCCATAACATAACACGGACCTGCTCGAGGCCTCAAATCACATCAAACAACATCGAAATCATGAATCGCACCCCAATTCAAGCTTAATGAACTTTAGAACTTCAAACTTCTACATTCGATGTCGAAACCTATCAAATCACATCCGATTGACCTCAAATTTTGCAAACAAGTCACATTCAACATTACAGACCTACTCCAACTTCCGGAATTGGAATCCGACCCCGATATCAAAAAGTCCACTTCCGGTCAAATTTCTCAAAAGCCTTCAAATTTCTAACTTTCGCCAAATGACCCCAAAACGACCTACGGACCTCCGAATCCACTTCCGAACACGCTCTCAATATCAGAATCACCATACGGAGCTATTTCCAGAATCGAAATCCCAAACAGACATCGATAACATTGAAATACACTGCAATCCAAATTTGTGAAATTCTTCCAAAATGCCAACTTCCACAATAGGCGCTGAAACGCTCACGGGTCATCTAAAACCCGATCTGGGCATACGCTCAAGTCCAAAATCATCATAAGAACCTATTGGAATCTTCAAATCCCAATATCGAGATCGTTTACTCAAAAATCAAACCTTAGTCAATTCTTTAAACTTAAAGCTTCCGAAATGAGAATTTTCTTTCCAAATCAATTCCAAACTTCCCGTAATTCAATTCCGACCACGCGTACGAGTCATAATATCTGAAATGAAGCTGCTCATGGCCTCAAACCGCCGAATGATGTGCTAGAGCTCAAAATGGCTGATCGGATCGTTACACTAGTGTGGCATGGTAAGATGTTGTTGTGTCAACCACCAATTCCAACTTTGGATCTGCCAAGTGCTTGAATTCCTCTTCCTCATTTATGAAGAGAACAACATTATCATTGTTTTGCACCATGGCAGTTGTATTGTCGTCATTCTTCTGCCACTAGTTTCACCTTTGCCCTTCCTTAGATTTGTGCAATCACTTTTGAAGTGACCTGGTTGATCGCAATTGTAGCAATTTCTGGATTTTGATTTGGATCGGCTCTTGGACTTCCCACAACCCCTGAATCTACCATTGTTGCTCGAACTCCTTTGATAACTCCTACTTTTACCTTCTGTAATGAGAGCATGTTCTTGATTTTCATGCTTCTTTCTCATATTATCATTGAGTAGAAGAGCCGATGTGACGTCTTTCAACTCAATGGTAGCCTTACCGTGCAGGATGGTTGTTGCCAAATTATTGTACGAAGATGGCAAAGAGTTTAACAACAAGATGGTTTTATCTTCTTCCTCGATTTTTACTCCGAGGTTGGCAAGCTGTGTGATTAGTTCATTAAACACATTTAAATATGACAAAAAATTCATACCTTCATCCATGTGTAGGGCGTATAGTTGCTTATTCGGGTACAATTTATTTGTCAGCATTCTGGACATGTACAGGCTTTCTAACCTTGTCAAAATACCACATGCAGTATCTTCATCAATGATGTTATTTACCACATCATCTGATAAGTGTAACCTGATTGCACTAGCAGCCTTTTCATCCAAGTCAGCCCAATCGTCAACTTTCATATATCAGGATTTTTGGCATCAACATCTAGTACCTTGTGTAATCCCTGTTGGATGAGCAGATTCCTCATCCTTCTTTGCCATGTTGAGAAACCGCTATCTCCATTGAATTTTTCTACCTCGTACTTTACTCTGGACAATTTTTTTATGTGTAGTACTACCGATCGTGAATAATATTTCTGCTTATGAGCAGAATCTATGCTCTGATGTTGTTGGAAATAAACCCTCCACAGAAATGATATTCACAGTCGTAACAGCGGAATCATAATGTAGCACCGAGATACGGTAATCAACAAGAATAAAAGAGTGACAACGGCACCAAGATTTTTACGTGGAACACCCTTCTGAATATTTGGAAAATCACGATCCCAAGAGAAACAACTGATATCACTATAGCAAGGAATTTTACACTTTGTAGGTCTGAGTAAAATACTTCAAAGACTACTACAACACTCAAAAAAATAACCCGCTTTTGATATTCTCATCTCACGACAATATCGCTCACACTCTCTATTTTCCTCACAGACTATTTTCTTATAACGTGTCTGTGATGTCTCACTCTTTATTT